ATTTAGACACGGTTTTATTTGACCTAAGCACCAAGCATCAGGCCAAAATTAAATCATCTCCATGTTTTCTTATGTTTAGGCAGAAAACCTAGATATCAATCCCAATTCCCTGAAGATTACAGGGTGAGCTTCAGTCACCAAACATACTCCTGTGTTAATTAGTTTTAGTTTTTCTTTTCATATCGTACAATTCTTCAACTTAAGTTGATATCTTATTTTTTTCAAAGGTTGACAACGGGGTGCTGCACAACTTGACTATCAAGGAGATAAAAAAAAATAAACAAAAATAAACATGGATCATTTGAGAAGCATCACAGAAGAAACACCCAAGGTACCCTGTAGGTGTAATGAAGTTCCACTGTCCACTATGCCACAGACAGCCCCTCTATGTCACACAGTGGACTTTTGCATGTGGATGATAGTAAAAATATTGGGCATGAGTTTTTTTTTTTTTTGCTGCATTACTTTGAGGCGCTTGGTTAATTCCGTTTAAACCAAGCGGAAACACATCAAATTCAAAGTTCCTTTGTTGCAAACTTCCAAAAGTTTGCCTAAAATTTGCATTTCAGTTGGTTTTAAACACGGGTACTGACTTCTATGCTGCAAAATGAACGAGTCTCCCTTCTGAAATCTGTTAGCAGACAGCTATGAAAATCAAAAGCTAGAGAATTCATGGACTTCCTTGTAGAGAACAAAACAAATCAGAGAACAACAGATATATTTGATCAGGTTTTTGCCACATTTGTTGCCTAACAACAACTTTTATCTTTGCCAGCTTTAAGGGGAGCTCAGACTGTAAAGCCAGGCACTGGGTACATCACTCATTAGTGACAGATCTGACTCTCTCTTTACATAGGACAGTTTTTTTAGGTGTCAGGTGGCCACAGTACACCTCAATACATCTCAAATTAACTAATACTTGGGTTAAAACCTACGCAGTTCCTTTAATATCGGACGGACATTGACATGGGTTAGCTTACGCCTTCCCTGTGTGCTTCTTCATGTGAGCAGTCAATTCGCCATTCGTGCAGAAGCCCTTTCCGCAAGTAAGACATGAGAAAGGTCTCTCCCCTGTGTGGGTCCTCATGTGATAGATCAGGAGGCAATGCCGAGACAAGCGCTTACCACAGAGCTCACACTCGAAAAGCTTCCCAGTGTGAGCTCTCATGTGAACATTTAGATCGCCCTTCCGTTTGAAACCTCTTTCACAGATTTTGCAGGAGAAAGGTTTCTCGCCCTCATGGGTGGTGGTGTGTTTTTTCAGAGCGCTCCGGCGAAAAAAGGATTTTCCACAGGTGCCGCATGAGAAAGGCCGCTCGCCTGTGTGCACGCTCATGTGGACTCTCAAACTGCTCCTCAGGCTGAATTTCTTTCCACAGGTTTTACAAACGAATGGCTTCTCTCCCGTGTGTGTTCTCATGTGGTTCACCAGACTCCGACGCACACTGAAGCCTTTCCCACATGTAGGACACACAAATGGCTTCTCCCCGGTATGAGTCTGAAGGTGCTTTAACAGGCGGCACTTTGGCGAAAAAAATTTCCCACAGATCTTACAGAACAGATCCTCCTCAGCATCAGGTCTTTTCGGACCTTCACCCTCTGGACCACCTCTGTTCTCTTCGCCTGGATTTGTTCCTTGTGTCCCACTCCATCCTGCATCTTCTTCAGTGCTACCCTGCTGATCTCGGTTCTCTGGTTCTGAACGACTCACCATGAAGATCTTGGTTTCCTGCTTCAGTACAAACTGCTCTCCTTCTTGACTGATGAACATATCATTCTGTTCTGCTCTTAGTTCTTCCTCTTTTCTCTGAAGAGTTTCCGGTTCTCCCTGTTCCATTTTTAATTGCAAAGAAATAAACTCATCCTGCTCTTCTTTCACCCATACAGGTTCTGGTTTCTCCAGATCCAGTCTGCCGTCTCTTTCCAGGTTGTTGAGCAGTTGGTCATTGAGCCGCTTCTCCTCCATCCCAACATGGTTCTGCTGGAATTCTGGACAGGCAGAGAGACACAGTGAGATGAGGATTTATGTGAACAATTCAAAACAAAACGTCTCTTTTTTCCTATACCGTATTTTCACGACTATAAGGCGCATATAAACATCTTTTTTTTCCCTCAAAATGTGCGGTGCGCCCTATGTGTGTTGTTTCTACGGACGTTGTTGAGACCACCATGAGAACGTTAAAGGGGGAAGTGTGGGTGTGGATTGTGTATAAAAGAACAGGTATGCCCTTTATGCAAAACTCCTCATTGAGGAGATGATGAAAGAGTGGCTGAGGCAGGTGTATGTAAGGAGACAAGGTGGTTTTTTCCACGCATCACCACCGCTGTTAATCTGTGACTCCATGCGTGCCCATCTCACAGCTGATGTGAAAAACATGGTGAAACAAATGAACGCTGTGCTTGCTGTTATTCCGGGAGGTCTGACAAAGGAACTTCAACCGCTCGACATCGGTGTGAACCGGCCGTTCAAAGTAATGCTGCTTTCACACCGGACGCAGCTGGCGCGGCAGAAGCAGCGAGTTTACATGCAAAGTCAATGGTTGACGCGCGTCAAGGCGCAGCAAAAGGTCCCACAGAGCGTTTTGAGCAGCAGGCGCAGCGCGTTTTGAGCAGCTGAAGCAGCGCGTTGGGAGCGTTTAAGCATCTGACGCGGGTGACTCGCCGCAAACGCGCTGCTGCTCGAGATGGAAAAATTTAAAATTTGCTGCTTGATGCACCGCATCAACCATCTGGGAGCTGACAGCGGGACAGACACAACGCTGATGACACTGAGCGCTGTGATCACTCCTCTGAAACAATTTATTGACGCCTAAATTAACTTAAAATGCTGAAACCTGCCGACAGAATATGTTGGCTTTTATTATCCTGGTGCCTGCAGTTTGGATTATTTAGATGAAAAACACCTACCAGCCGTCGAGGTAAACTGCGAGGAGGCGACCCGTTTTCAGGTGGATTTTCACACTTAAAAACATATTAAAACTACTTTATTCTCACTGATCACAGCAAATATAGCTGCAAGGCAAAGATAGGATAGAGAAGCTCCGCCCAACACGTGTCAGACACACTTTTGCACCGCGCAGCCAGAGCAGCAAAGCTGCTTGAGCCGCGCGTAAGAACTAACTGGTACAATCTAAACTGCAGGCAGCAGGATAATAAAGCGGACATATTCTGCCGGCAGATTTCTGCATTTTAAGTTCATTTATGCGTCAATAAACTGTTTCAGAGGAGTGATCATAGCGCTCTGTGTCATCAGCGATATGTCTGTCTCACGGCCAGCTCCCAGGTTTGTTTAATACTTTGTAATAAATACATGAATAAAACACAAACATACTCATTTTTGCTTCCACTCTATTTTTAAATAAGCAGTAGAGGTATTTAAACGTAGTAGAGGACATGTACCTGTATATAAAACCCGCGCCCTATAGTCCGGTGCGCCTTATGTGTGTGTTAACCCATTTAGGCCGGGAAAGCATTACCGCATTTCTACCATTCAAGCCGGGGGCGCTGTTGCGTAATTCTACCATTGACGCCGGGAGAGCATATAAGTCAAGCAAGAAGAAAGATGTTTTTTTTCAAGCAAACATGGAGGAGTCTGACAGAGAAGAGTTGTCGGAAGGCAGT